GCCTTTTCCGTTTGTATGCATCGAAAACGGGCAAGTTAATATGGTTTTGAGATCCGCTTGGTGTTTCCTATGAAGATAACTAAGTGTGACATAGAAATTCCTTCAGTGTGATTCAGTATCACCGTAAAGTAGCAATTTTACCAAAACTTCAGAATGCCCAAAGTACTGTTTTTGACGTTTAAAAGTACCGTAAGGCTGTATTTATGCTCAGAAAAGTGCTTGCGTATCCCTCAAATGGTAACAGAACACGACACGTTAAACATAAAGGCCGAAACCCCATTTATTTCGGCAAAAAACAAAGCAAAACGAGACCAAATGCAGAAAGACTGTATTTGTAGTGTGGGTTGCCTATCGCCCCTTAGGGGGTTTCTGCATAGGAGCTCGGTGACCAGACCCTGTTTCCAGGTGTTTCATCCCCCCTGGAACCTGCAATTTTTGAGATACAGACATTTCATGAAAATCAAAGTTGTAGAGAATTAAAAGGCCTCTAACGTTTGTAAAAGGCAATTACCACATTTTTGGGCTGGCTTACGCACAATATGCCGAAAAAGAATTCTTGAACATTGAAATTATAGAAAAATGTTAGTATTTGTTCTTTAGAGGCTAAAGTTTCGCTCCAAGCACTATGTACCCCTTAATATTACTTAAAGAAGAGATCATTCTGCATTGAATGGCGCAAACCGCATTGCTGTATCTCAAACACAAGTTGAGATATACCAATTTGTTCAAAAGTCGAAATTTTGAACTTTGAACACGATTTGAGCCGATCGGCACGGTGGGATTTTGTGGGACTTTTGGCTAGGCACTCCTTAGACATGCCTAAAACGATCCCTAAAGTTTGGTACTGTTCGGAATTTTGTCTAGGTCAAAACACAATTTGACTGTACTAGAAAGCCTGGTGACTGGCACCTCATCAACGCCATGCTTGTCCATGAGCATAAGGCGTAGGCGAGGTCCCAGCAAGCCAAGGTGTGCCCTGAGCGTAGTGGCACAAGCTATATTCCCCGATTATTATTTTTTTTAATATGAGTCCCGTTCTGTGCGTCCCATCCTAAGCTTACCTTTGGCTCTCTGCACGTATTCTAGCGCACTCTCGTAGTGGGCTAGCTCGGCTGCGAGGTCCTCCTGCTTTATTTTTACACCTCTTATTTTCTCCTAAGGGTTCAAACATGCTACTACATCAGCTAATCTAAAAAAGAACGACAGTAGAAAAAGCCTAAACAAAAGAAACTTACTTTCAAAAATTCGACAGTCGCATGTTCCCCCATGAGAGGCATGGTTTACACGCGCAGAGGTAACAAAGCGGAGTAGCTGCATTGTTCATTGTTGTTAGACATGCCCCTAAATTCTGCCAATCTGACGAGGCAAAAAAAAAAGTTCCGTCAAGGCACGGATCGTGGAAGCAGATGATACGTAATGCAATAGGGTATTTCAATCGAGCGCTGGGGCGGAAGTAAGAAGAACAAAAACGGAAGGTGGAAGGCGCCCGGGCCGGCCCCCTCCCCGCCCGGCAGCAGCGGCTGGCTCCCCCACTCCGCCCGCGCGCTCGGCTCGCTCGGCTCTCGGCTCTCGGCTTCGGCTCTTTCCCCGCCGCGTTCGGCTCGGCTCGGCTCGGCTAGCAATCCGCTCCGCCCACTCGGCTCCGCTCACTCGCGCTCGCGTCGTTTCGTTTCTCTGTGATGCCTAGGTAAAAACACTTTGATTGGACGCCAAACCTACTGTGACAGTACCTGCAACGATTTATTTTGAAGAAATCTCGTAGGTGGGGCAACATAAATGTAGTTAAAGTTAATGCAGACATGCGATTCGAGTCGAAAAATGCGAAGTACGAGAGTTCACCTAAGCACATGTCTGCATGTCACATACACTTATCAGAGTTTCTTCCATTCCCTTACATTTGTGATTTAGCAAGTAAATTTTCAAAGGTAAATTTCCTCCTAAATTCTTATTTTTCAGTTATTTCACCATAGCATTGCCCACATTTAGTTTTGCGGTATTTGTATCTGCTTGGTCTTGTGTGTTTAGTTTCATTCATCAATGCTGCCATGGTGAGTGTTTCCCTACATCATATTTAAAATTATCTTATGCAAAATGTGATTTTAAAAGTAAAGATGGCAAGGCTGTTAAATATCTTTTTCTCTTTACCAGGCGGAAGCCGCTGTCAATGTCTCACATTGTGATGGAGGGCTGATCGGGAAAGCCGTCCATGTCAGTGCTGCACTTCAAGTAAGATAACTCCACCCTCTACTTTTAATCATTTTTAAAACATGCTTTTATTTACATTTTGTTCATAACTTTAAATATTGGCCACTATCTTTAGGATTGGTCTAACAATGAACTGCCATCACCGCAGTTTACTTTCTACACCAGGAAAGTAACTTCAAAGTGGGGAGGAGTTGTGAAACATTTCCATTCAGGGCTCTTAAATCTGGGAAACACATGCTACCTCAATGCATCATTACAGGTAAATACTTTGACAGCATATTTCCTCCTATTTGTTTAGCTTTATTACTATGTACATTTTATTAACTTCTCTTGCAGGATTTATTCCACATTCCTGGATTCCTCGACTTCTTGAAGGGAGATGTTCTGCACAGGAAAAGTTGCTATGCTCCGCTGACTTGTGTGACGTGCAGCCTCTTTTGTAGTCTCAGTAGCATGGAGAGTGAGGCTATTCATAAACCAGTTCGCCTGGTGAACCTCATAGGAAGTATGTTCTCAATCAATACTAATGTTGAATGTCATATGTGTATTTGTGTTCGCAAAGTCTTGTTTCATGTCTCTCACTTTTTGAAACATTATTGCGCATTTGTAATTCTATCTAAAAAAAATTTCAGGTATTAGTAAGCAGCATCTCCGTCCTGGCAAGGAGGAGGATGCTCATGAATTTATAGTCATGCTTCTTGATGTTATAGACAGAGAATTTCTCAATAGATTTGGTTATGAATATGAACGGTAAGGTTTTTTTAATGTTTTGAGAGAGTGACAATAGGTATAATATAATTTTGTCAACGGGTACTTACTTTATCTCCTATTGTAGGCTTAAGGACTTCTGCTCAATTCAGACTTCTGTTGGTGGAGAGATATTTGGAGGGTGGTTGCAGAACTTGTGTATGTGGAACTACATCTTATATCTGTTGCTTGTGCAGTGCTTTCAGTTTGTTGTCATCTGTTCTGTTGTAGGATAATTTAATTAAATCTGTCTTCTTTTTATGACTGCAGGTACATGTGTAAGTTGTAATATGTGTTCCACTACTTACTGCCCATTTTCTCAAATATTTATTTCTTGTGAAAGTGGAAGCATCCAGAATGGAGTTGCTGCGTATATTCAGAACACAGAAGAAGTTGAGTTCAAGTGCAGTAGAGGGCATAAAGGCATTGCCAAAAAGAGCTGTACAATTTATCGCTACCCTCAAGTGTTGAAGATTGTTGTAAACAGGTAAGGTGCAGAAACACAATAACTCCACATATTATCTGTAGCCAGTAGGAGAGACAATATGCTTTGTTTTATGTTTGATTTAGATTTGACTTTAATAACTACAAACTAAGGAACCCTGTGAGCGTGGACCAATACTTGAAAGTTGGCACAGCTCGTTATTCATTCCTTAGTGGAGTCATCCACTCCGATGTTGAAGGCGAAAATCGACACTACACATGTGTCTCAAGGTGTCCTAGTGGAAATTACACTTTATTTAATGATGCATCTGTAAGCCTTCCCATTTATTTTATTTTGTGAGAAAAGACTTCTTTTGTTATTTTTTTAAAGCAACCCGTACTTGTGTTTTGTGTTGTACTTTCTTTCAATTCTGTGTGCAGGTAACTCAGAATTACTCGGGAATGTGTTCAGATTTTGTAAGATCTGGTATTTACATCACATTTTATCAGCTTACTTCTCAGGTAATAAGATATCTAACTAATCAATGGGGTATTCTGAAGTAAATGAAAGTCATAGTGTATTCAGCTAACTGCAGCACTTTTAACTTAACAGGCCAAGACCAGGAATAGGACCCTGCTCAAAACTCCTTCTAAAAGAAGCCCTGCAAAGAAGAAACTTTTCATTGGCAAGTCTACAGTTTCACCTCAATCAAACTCAAGGAGAAACCCATTCGAGAAGACCATGTTTGGTCATACAAAAAGTTTCTCACCTAAGAGAAAAACATTGCCTAAACTCGCAAGGAGTATAAATTCATCACTATCACAAGTGGGTATCTTTTGGTGACATATAGCAGAGAGCTTTTCCTGAAACTGTACTGACTTAATATATATTTCAATGACAGCAGCTCCAAAAGAATTTATCTATTGACTCATTAAGTACCAATGAGAGTGGACAACCTCAGCAGCATAGCAGCAAAGTATGCAAGGAGCAACGTATACCCTTCAGATTTGACATCTTTTGCAATTTTCAGAATGTGCTTTTTATATTACTTTCCTATTGTAGGACATAGGCAAATCAGCAGGAATTGTTAGCCAATCATCAGCAGTCAGGAGAAGTCTGCTGTCACAACTCACTGCTGTTGGTTTGCCAAACTCCCAAGAGAGTTTAGTAACTGAAATTGACCAGGAATCACAGGTGGTAAGAATGGTTACATAATTACATTAATTTTCAGGATCTCAATCAATAGCTCAACTCAACATATACATGAGTAAAATACTCGAACTTTATCTATTTTAAACTTTTAAATAAAGGATTCTGAGGAAACTATGACAGCAATTGTGAGTCCTGTCACTTTGAAGCTAGGGCGGACCACTCTTGTTGACTCATTTACATCTTCACAAACCAGTAATTCCATAACATCAGACTGCGTGAGTAGCTTAAGTATTTTCTTTCTTTTCTATTTCTATTCAGATTTTTAATCTGAAAATTTACTTACAAGTATAAGTGGAATTTTCCAAATTTATTTCCCATTTTTTTCCCTACTATTAAGGATTCTGAGCAGACCATGACAGCAATTGTAAGTCCTGTTACTCTGAAGGTGGTCCGGACTTCTCTTGCTGATTCAGTTATTTCACAGACCAGTGATTCAAGAATATCAAATTGCGTAAGTAGCTTAAGTATTTTCTTCCCTTTCTATCTTTATTCAGATTTTTAATAAAAAGATTTACTTACGAGTGTAAATTTCCCAATTTATTTATCTCTTTTCTTTTTCCCTACTATTCAGGATTCTGAGGAAACCATGACAGCAATTGTAAGTCCTGTTACTCTGAAGGTGGTCCAGACTACTCTTGCTGATTCAGTTTCTTCACAGACCAGTGATTCAAGAATTTCAAATTGCGTGAGTAGCTTGAGTATTTTCTTTCTTTGCCATTTTCATTCAGACTGTCAATTTTGTGATTTACTCAACATGGATAAGTTTAATTCAATTCTGATTTTCAAAAAAATTCCATGAAAGGATTCTGAGGAAACAGTGACAGCTGTTGTCAGTCCTGTGACACTAAAGCTAGGCGGGACCACTACAGCTGATTCTGGGGTAATTGTTTTAAATCCTGATCCTGCCCAATCCGACAAGGTGATAACTTCTTCCACATTTAGCAATTACATGTTTTTTTGTAATCTGTGTATCTCATCGCTTTAATGTCACTTTCCAGACATACCATTTCTCTGTAGAAATGTGGGATCTCCAATCCAACTGTTTTGTTCCTAATTTTTCAGGTTTGTGATGCCCAAGATATGGTGTTCTACTTTGAAGAACTGTGTGACAGTAATGAAAACCTGGATTGTGGCATTGACGAAGATTTGTTCTTTGACAAATCTGATGTAGTTGAAACTGTAGGGTGTTCTTCTTTTCATCTAATTTGTAAACAATACCCTGCAACATAAGCTATTGTAATGTTAATCTTATTTAAATAATGAATTCCAGGACAACTTCAGAGCGTTTCAACCAGTGTTCTTGACTCCTGCCGATGTGCCACAGTCTAATTTACCATTTGCAGATGTTCAAAGGAATCATGTCAAAGAACTAAAGCGGTGGCTCCAAATGAGAAATATCCCCTCAGGAGGAAAGAAAGACGAGTTAGTTGCAAGGTTAATAAATCATACCGTTTCTTGGATCTACACATCATTTGAAATTCTCTACTCCTGAGGTTTTCTTGTTTTTCACAGGGTAGAGGCTGCTATGGACCTGGGAATAGACAAGGTTTTGGACCCCAAATTTGATGCGGGCAAGTGGTACGATGAGAAGAGAATGGCATTAATGTCATCTCAGGTGGGAAGCATAAGTAGTGGTGGGAGTGCCATTTACACATTATGAAAAGTTTGTACATGTTTTAATATATTCCTATAACTCAGCCATTATTTAACCACAGGATGCTTCACTTCTGAATGGAAATGTTATGTTTCCTGACCTTGGCTGGGAGACCTTCCCAAGCCGAGATATTCCCCAAAATTTCTCTTTTGAAAGTGTATACTTTTATCTAGTGGAGACAATGCCTGCACCTGATGATCTGAATGTCAACCCGGAAGATTCACAAGATGAAGTATATTCAGGAGATGAAGAGGTAGAGGAGGATGAAAGGACAGTTGTTACTGGTGATCCCTTTGAACAGCTTCACAATGAAGCAGTCCAATCCAGCAAAAAAATTAGAAGAGGTTTACAATTTTTAAAAAGTAAATTTGTACGAAATGGCAAAGATCTCGTATCAGGACGTTTTCATTCATATAAGGCCGAAGTGAGAGCCTCAATGGAGAAGAAAGCGTACTGTGTCAAAGTATGTATCTCCCAAATTTCTGGAAATGTCATCAAAGCCATTTGTAACTGTAAAGTCAGAGCTTTGGGGCGGTGCAGCCATATCAGTGCAGTACTCTTGTTCATCGTCCAGCATAAATCACTGAACGGATGTCAAGGTAAAGGAAAATGTTCCTTAAATTAACAATTTATAAAATTTTATCTTTTTATTAATAATTTAGGAGGGCAGGTTTTTGTTTCCAATTATAAAATAACAGCGTAATGCTCAGCAAGTCATCAAAATGTGTTGAAGTGAAGGGAGTAATTAACATAAACAGGTATACTTTTACATATTGTTGTTGATAAGTCTTCTCAGTTTGGTGAGTCCGTAAATCTGCTATTGTTTTGTTTTTTTTTCTGCTCGCATATGCACCCTTGCATTTATAACCATATTCTCTTGTCAACATTTGTCTCTCCACTATGATGTTTTTGTCTGGAAAATGGTGTATCTGCTTGTGTATGGCTCCTGATTGTTGTGGGCATTCCTTCCCCCACATTTATCCCTATTGCACACTAAAAAATTGTCTTCCTCAATTGCCCATGCCTCCCTCATCTTTAAAAATTTGGTTTTCTTTATGTTTTGGGTGTTGTGGGCATCCCTTTGGCCACATTTATCCCTATTGCACACTAAAAAATTGTCTTCCTCATTTGCCCATGCCTCCCTCATCTTTAAAAATTTGGTTTTCTTTATGTTTTGGGTGTTGTGGGCATCCCTTTGGCCACATTTATCCATATTGCACACTAAAAAATTGTCTTCCTCATTTGCCCATGCCTCCCTCATCTTTCAAAATTTGGTTTCCTTTTATGTTTTGGCCCCACAATGAATTTACTGTTTTACTATTAATGATGGGTCCGCTGTTGTCTGAATAACCACAGAATTTCAAACGGAGGTTGAAACAAAGAGGTATTGCTACAATACTATATGGTAAGGGGATATGGTTTCAGAAAATGTGTACAAATGGAATGATATAAAAACCTTCACCCTCCTACTAGAACTGGCATCGAGATTATCTGTTCAGAGAAGCCGCTGCTGGAACACTCCACAATAATATTTCATGTAGAATGTTGTTACTTTCATCCTGATCTGTTTTCTGCATTTGCTTTTAATTTTTGGAAAGTTGGATTTTGGGGCTTTTAATTTATACTTTATGGTACCTGCATTGTCTAGCATGATTTATTCTTTGCAATAAACTTAACAAATGCATGTGGAATGCTTGGCACAAACTCAATTTACATTTCAGGAACTTAGTTGAAGCATGACTAGTGTACAAGCATGACTAGTACTACTATAAATCCTTAAAATAACTAAACGGAAAATGTATTATAAAAATAAAAATTTGAGAATGCATGAAAGTAATTGCTGGAAATTTATGGTGAGTTGTACAAATTTCAATCAGGTTACATAAGTAACTTTATAATATGAATGACCTCTAAATGCATGAAATGTAACATAACATATTTGGATAGATCTTAACTTGCTTATTAACAATTTGTCAGTGTCTACATGAGACTTAGAAAATATTAATGATGTATGCATATTTTCTAACAATAAATGAATATTTAATTGTAGACTGGGTGCTGTAGTTGCTTTTACCTCTGGTCCAATCATTAAACACAAACAATTTCTTTCTATTTCACATGGTAGTTTTTTTTATTTTTTCCCCCTATTCTGACACGATTGAAATTCCTGAGAAAAGCTGCAATGTACACCATATCAGAAATGGTTCCTATCATGTTGATGGGAATTGTGCCCTGCAGAATTCTCCAGTCTTTGATATCAGCAACTGCATGTTCTACATAAATACGAGCTGCAGCTACGGCTTTTGTCATTATCTCTTCCTCAGCAGTCAAAGTTTCCCTTTCACCTAATGATGGGGGCTTGTAAAAATAACATCCCTTCTCTAATAGCTCAGATGTGAGATCATAGCCTCGATCTGTCATGACACCATCTCCTTTGTCAAGCATTTCCAATAGGTTACTTTTCAAAATTGTTTCCTTGTCAGAAATACAGCCTTCATAAGCATCACTACAAAAAATGGTCGCCCCATTGCAAGAAATTCCAATTGCAACCAGTAACACATTGTTACTTTTGTAGGCGGAATAGGTGTTTCCCTGCTGCTCAAAATTTGATGGGGTTTGAATATAAAACGATGCTCCATCCAAAATGACACGAAGATTTTTGAATGGTTTCATTACTTCTGGCTTCCCAAAAGCTTCTTGTTGAGCAACTGAGGGAAACATTTCTTTTTCCATAGATTTCAGCGTAAGATAAACTGTTCTTGTCATCACATACAAAAGTTCAGAAACATATCCAATACCAATGCCAAACAATTCACATAATTCTTCTTCGGGGAGACCTCTTCTCATGCGTAACAGAAACATGAACAATCTGTCTCTGGCTGACATCCTTGTTTCATTGAGAGTAGCAGGTTCGTTTTGTGCATAATGGAGCTTCAACTTCCTTATGCCTTCTTCACCACCAATTAAGTTATAAAGGATTTCAAAGTCTTCCAGAGATAATCCTGTCCAAAATTTAAATTTTTTATTGGACTTACATTTCTCAAAGGATATTAATGACTTTTTCCCTTTACTCTCCCTTTCTTTGTCATTTCCCTTCTCAGTTAAAGTCTGCACTACTGCATCAACCTGGGAGACACAATATTCATTAATGTAGACTTTGCAAATTAACACAAAACAATTTGCTGATCAAAACCTTCATTATTTACCTGAACAACAGTTGTTTGGGTTCCAACACTTCGACATTTAGGCAGAGTAGTGGATTCCTCCGAAAGTTCATCTGAATAATTTGAAGGATATCCAACAATCTGCAAAGTAATTTAACTGATTAAGAAACATTTAAACAAGGGTTCAAAGATATACATGTCTATCAAAGCTGTTTGAAAGGTACAGTCAGATTATAACTCTATTACATAACACAATAGGGACAAACATAGGGATTAATTTAACAACTTATTAAGGCGGGTAGGATGTCAACTTTTAATAATGGAGAAATCGCACTAATTATGAAATGCCTTTTTCCCTACAGCCATCACTTGCACTTCCAAACCATGTGTTTGGAACCGCGGGTCCCTCCGGAACAACCCTCAGGTGGCCCATAAACGGCAGTACGACTCCTTCAAAATCAATGTGAAAAGAAGATCTGGATTCGACCCAAGACCTGAGGTGGTCCTGGCGCAGCAGCCACAGGACCTAATGCGTTATTTGATTTCAGCTCTTACATATAGAGAAGATGACGATGCGTGCGGTTTCCAATCCATCATGAGTTTGCAATACAGTGATTATGATATTTCAGAGGAAGACTTGCAACTAATACAAGTGCTTAGAAAACAATTCCTCGACTCCCTGAAAACAATCATCATTCAGCACAGCCCCGGGGAAAAACTGAAGGACAAGAGAAAGTATATTGGACCTGTGCATGTGGCTGGTTCTGAAGAGCAAACGAAAAGTGATATGTGGAAACGCCTCAGAAATGTCTGTGCAACAGGGTCAAAATGCCGAACAATTGCTGGCTTCTGCACAGATTCACATAGGAAGCGCTTCCTGAAACGTCACATGTGGGGGATAGATTGCGTCAAAACAAAAGCAATGAAGTACGGATCTAAGTATGAAAACACCGCAAGAGAGGCTTACAAAGTCAAGCACTCGCTTCCTATTACTAAAATAGACAACAAAGGAATAAACCTCCACACCGCACACATTGGCTTATCCTGTAGTCACGATGGACTCGTTACTTTTGCAAGTGGGGAGACCAGAATTTTAGAAATAAAATGCCCCTACAGCTTAAGATATTACGATCCAAATGATTTTGATAAAGTATTATCTAAAAAACAGTTGTCTTCATTTTTCCTCAAGAGAAATCAGTCAGGTTCAATTTACCTGAGGGACAATTGTGAATATTACGACCAGGTTTAGATG